TTCACCGTCTTCTTAGCAATGCCCAGAAATGAAAACTAGCATTTGAATCCGGTTTATTTTATTTGTACTCAAAACATGGAAAATTAGTTAATTTACTCCTTTTGTTGGTCTTCTTCCTGGATGTATTTTTACTTTTATATTTATTTTATGATTTTTTTTTGTGATAAAACAGATCACAATACAAGCAGTGGTGATACCAGCTGATCTGTAGTCGAGATGAAGCTCTGTGTGGAAGTTAATGCAACCAGACAGAGTGTTGGAGAGAAGCACTGGAGGGGGGTTTACTCTAATTTCAAGGGTGGAAGATGCTGCTGACTGTAATCAGCGGCTCACTGGGGCTGACAGTGCAGGTGCCTAATAACCATTCGTTGACACATTCACATCCTCAGTTTAGAAGCCAAGGCCTCCTTCCTGACCCACAATTGGTAGTGCAGCAAACCCAGGCACTGACATTTTAATTTCTGACTCACTGAAATGCCTCCCCCTAAATTACTGTAATTGATTAAATTAGTTTGGACACTGGCCACGAGGTCCTCGGTGCACTGGTGATATATACCAAACATTTCTTCTTTCTTACACTGTAAAAAATAAACTCTTTTGAACAGTTTTATCAGAAAATAAGTATTAATTTACCCCAAACAAACTTTGTAGATAATGTCTTTTTAAAATGGTAGTTTGTTCGTTCACAACGTTTCAGTGTAAATTACACTTGGTTGCTTCACTGTGCTGTATTCAAACCATCAAAATATTTTATTTTACAGATATTTGCTGTTATTTGACAGAAAAAAAATTTATATGGGTTGATAAGCTCAAATCCAACCATTGTTTTACAAATTTTCCCAATTTTGCTTAGAAACAGATCTAGTAAAATCACAGAAAAAAGTATTGTTTGACATATTTACTGTAAAAAGAAAAAAAAAAGAAAAGAAAAAAGGCCAAAGCTGTATTTAATGTCTACATCAAAAATCTGTATTTTTACAAATTGTAAAGAGTAATGAGTGACTAAAACTGTACTGCTTGGCTATATGTAAATTAAAAAAAAAAACAATGTCTTCCAGATATTTGCTGTTACTTTAAGAGTTTTTAATCTGCAGTATATTTTTCTTAAGTATTTTTTGTGACACCTTTGCTGCCACATGTTGACTATTTTGTTAACTATTTTTGTTTGTTTTTTTTGTTTTTTTTTACTGTGCATCATTAGATTTTGTTGCTTCTGTTGGATTTGTGATCCTCAGAACAAACAACTAAAATATCTGTATGTTGGTGCTTGGTAGAATCAGTGTGATTGCAAGTCAGTCCACACAGTTCAATCAACACCTAACTGAGACATGTTATAGTGTTTTAATTCTCATCAGTCTAATTGTTCAGAGAGATTCAGAAAGCAGCACAGACAGATTATTTGGTGTTTAAATATAGTCTCTTTACCAGCCCATCTGCACAAATTGGCTACATGAGTGAATTATCCAACAACAGTGTCAGTCAGTACAACATCAGGCCATTATTTCTAGTTTCAGTCCACTGTGGGTAACAGATGTTGGTGCACACTGCGGGGAGTAAAATTGTTATGCCTTGATGTATGCTGGAGATCAGTGACCATGTTTAATGATGCATAAATGGCATATTCATACTGCTAAGGTAATGGCACAGACGTGTTGTTTTTGCAAGAATGTGAAATGCAAAGAAGATTAATTTAGTTTTTAGTCGCTGTTATAATGGAAGTGATATACTGAACAGATAATATCAAGTGTTATTTCAATCAAAATAAAGGCGTTTCTCATTGCAGCTCACATGTCCTTGCGTTTGTCTCAACAAATAACTGTTTTAATCCTTCACTTAAAGACCCCCTCTGGTGAAAATCAAGTGTTTTTTCACTTGCTATCATGTCCATATAGTACTTTTTTATGACATATCATGAGAGGAATAAGCAGTCAACGCTGAGAATTTCCACTTTGAAAGTGTAGCGATGACAGTCTTAAAAACACAGGTTCAGATTTCATGTGTAACAAACCAACGCAACCAATCTTGTCAGCTTACAGGGTGGGACTTTCTGTATCATTATTGTTCTTCAGAATCAGTTTCCAGTTCAAACATATATTCCTGAAATATTCCAATATTCCAATTTTCCAACCATCGTGCAGCACTGAGTATTTTTACAAGGTTTGAGCAGACCTGTAGCTGAGCTGGTGTGCTCAAGCTGCAACAAATGGGAAGGGGTGAGCAGAGAAAGAGGCAGGAACTTCATAGATGTGCTCATTTCAATAGAAGTCACAGCATAGAGGTGCCAAGAAAATATTCGACGGTGAAAAGGAGATATTTTTATTGAAAAAATTTATAAATATGTAACTTTAAAACATGTAGAGAAGTATTGTAGTGGTGGTAGAGCAAGTTTTCCTCTAATCACAATGTTGGTGGTTCAATACCTGGTCCCTCTGAATGACGAAACGTCTTTGGGCAACACACTGAACCCAAATATCATTTAAGTTTTTCGGGGTTAAATCAGCAAGTGAAGAAAAACTAAAATCACTTTTTTGGATGCACAGCATTAAAAGTATAAATCACTTTTCTGGATGGGATGAGGAGCTGGATTAACAATAATTTTGGTGTTAGAGGTGGGAGATGATTAGTTTAGTTTAGCTCAGCTTGCCAGGTCCTCTAGAAAAGTTAAAAATCTGCATGCCATCCCGATCAAAGCTCACTAATTTGCATCTTAATCTGATGCTCTGGCCCGGTGCAGTGACTCTGGAGTCTTCTTGTCCCCTTGAGGTTTCCTGGCAGCTGCTTTGTCCCTGCTTCTGGTCTTTATGCTAAGCTAAGCTAATCAATTATCAATGTTTTCATCAGATAATGGAATATTATCATATATCCAAAACGATCAAAAATATGCCTTTAGACAAATCCCACTAAGTTTTCAGGTTTATAATAATGCTGAAATATGGACAACACTGAAAGTGTAAATCACAGCTAGCATATCAGGGCTGTTTCTGTGGCTTTGTTTAGGAGTCTCTCTGTCCCCTTGTGGCCATCAGTTGCTTTTTCCATCTTAGACAGTTAAACAGAGTGCACCATAAAGTCAGACACTATATCTACCATCTCTCGACAGACCGATAGACAAAACTAAAAAATGATTTTGCATTAGCAGCTTTGGAAATTATGCATTTCATAGCAATCTGAACCTTTATAACTAACAAACTTAATCTTTGCAGAGCACAAGGCTTTACAAAAAAATAAACTTTTTGCTTTTTATAAACGAATAATAAAAGCAATAAACTAGTAATGGAATATAACAATTAAGTTGATTTAAAGACAACAAGAATATATTGATGACTGCATAAAGAATAAAAAAAAAATTAAATGTAATTAAGGTTAGGCAAGTTGAAAATATTTTGTTTAAAAAATCTACAGCTGTAGAGTCCTGTAAACCCTCAGGCAGACTGCTCTGTAGTTTAGAGGGAATCACTAATGAAAGCTGCTGCCTCATGTCTGAAAGTAAGCCTAAGGCACAAACATGAAAGTTAAAAAAAAACTGCAAAAAAAAAAACCCAAAAATGTGCATATTTTATATATTTTGCTGTGGTCATCCCCTCTTTCACGTGATTAACAAGACTGAATGAAGTTAGCTAATGAAAATAATCTCTTGGGCTTTTCCAGTTTCCCTGTTGTATTTTAAGAATATCAAAATTGTTCTTTGTTGTGGGATATTTCATGCAGATTTCTCGCTTTCACTTCTTCAGCAAGTGGGTTGTTCTGCAGGCAGATATCGTCCACCCAGAAGTAGCCATTTGATTTGAAATGCAAATAGTGGACGTGGTTGCACTAATGCTGCGTTGTGGTATTACTCATTCTGGAGTGAAAGGATAACCACTGTACTTTATGTTTTAGTGGACAAGCTCAGAGGCACAGCATTAAAGAAACAGTGACCGTATGAGTTTAAGCAGGCTAATGTTAAACTATTACTGGATCCACTTTTTTTTGTTTTTTAGATTTTATCAACACATTTTATAAAATACAATATTAACTCAGTTCCATCTTTATCCAAATCACATAAAGGCAAATGATTGCAGCAAAAAAAGAGCCAGACAGATAAATATGTAAAAACCAGGACAACAACACATACAACAGTACAATATTAGAGTAGATTGAAGAATAAATATGTGCAATACATACATTTTAAGACCCACATCCAGAGCTTTGATGATAGAGAAATAATCTAAAACTTTAAAATGACCCTATGTGACCTCTTAGTTAAATGTTACACTGAATTGCTACAAAAAATGTTTTGGGTAAAAAAAAAGAATAATAATCTGACCCTTTATGTCAAATGTGCAACAGGGCTTGTCAAAATATTAAAAAAACAGAACATTGGTTTGCCGTATTTGCAACACATCAGATTCTACTGATGTTAGAGGCCTCAAAGGCTGGTAATATGCTGACCAAAGACTGAATTTTTATTAGCAAACATGGATCAATGTATATGTAGATCCCTGGTTCGCGTCCTGGTGGGGACACCAGGATCTTTCTGCGTGGGGATTACATGTTCTCCCTGTACAGCCTGGATTCTCTCTGGGTTCTCCAGCTTCCTCCCACACAGTCCAAAAACATGTTGAGGTTAATTGATGATTCTAAATTATCCGTAGGTGTGAATGTGAGTGTGCTTGGTTGTCTGTCTCTAAGTGTAGCCCTGTGATAGACTGGCGACCTGTCCAGGGTGTCCCCTGCCTTTGCTCTAAGTCAGCTGGGATAGACTCCAGCCCCTCTGCGACCCTAGTGAGGATTAAGCGATGTATAGAGAATGGATGGATGGATGGATGGAAGGGAGTTTTGGGTCCCAATTTCTAAATAAGTAAACTCTGACCAAAATCTGAGATAGCAGAGCAACATACTTCTTGCATTCTGTCTGAACTGGACTAACCTCATACTAACTATTCATTCTCTATTTTCGGTGCGAAGGTGAGCGGTGCTGATGGGAGGTTGAGCACAGGGATGTGAGCGCGTCAGTAAAGATGACCCTGTTGGCGGGCGATGGCTCCGACTACGACTATAGTGCCCTGAGCTGCGCCTCCGATACCTCCCTCAACAGGCCTCCCCAGCACGAGGAGGAGGCTCGTAAGGGGGCCTTCTACAAGAGGGCACAGCCTGCCCCAGAGCTCAGCACCATCCATGACAGCATCCCCCTGTCCAGTGCCCGGAAACTCCACGCCATCATCAATGTAGGTGGCCTTCGGTACCAGCTGCCTTGGACCACCTTAGAGGACTTCCCTCTCTCTCGGCTGGGCCAGCTGCATCTCTGCAGCAGCTTCGATGAGATCATGCGCATCTGTGATGACTACGACGTTACGCACAATGAGTTCTTCTTCGACCGCAGCCCCTGTGCCTTCCAGACCATCCTGACCTTCCTGCGGGCCGGTAAGCTGCGATCCCTCAGGGAGATGTGTGCCCTCTCCTTCAGGGAGGAGCTGCTCTACTGGGGGGTTCCTGAGGAGAGTCTGGAGTGGTGCTGTCGGCGGCGGCTGCTGCAGCGAATGGAGGAGTTTGAGGCGATGGAGAGAGCGGAGGAGGAAGAGGAATTCCTTGAGGATCTTTTGGATTCAGACAGTGTCCAACGGGAACACGCAGGAGAGTCCAGACTGAGCCGCTGCATGGGGAAGCTAAGAGACATGGTGGAGAGGCCTCACTCGGGCCTCCCAGGGAAGATCTTCGCTTGTTTGTCAGTGTTGTTTGTCACCATCACTGCCATCAACCTATCCATCAGCACCATGCCTGCCATGAGGGAGGAAGAGGAGGCGGTGAGTAGATAAAATACTTTTAATGTTCCTCATTAAGATGAAAAAAGTCACAATATAGAAAAAAATGTCACCAAGATGCCAGAACAGAAAAAAATGGCCCAACACTAAACATCTTGTGTTCCATGTTTTCTCCAGAGTACCCAAAGAGACACCACCACATTGACAATGAACGTGTGAACCCAGTATTGTCAGCAGATTTAAGCTAAGCTGCTAATAACGGCATGTCTCATCTGTCATGTCGTTTAAAATCTCCTCTCTGGAAACTGCTGAGAGAGCCACAGCGTGTAACAGTTGTTTTTCCAGTTTAGAAAAAATATTTGAAGATGTCTCAGTCTGCTTTCATGAAACACTTTCATTATTATGTCTGACTTCAATCACAACCTTAATTAGCACCCTGGCTTCATTCGTCAAATCAAAGGAATATGGAATATTCGAGCCACACACATAATCTTCTTGCAGAGTAAAGTGCAAACAGGTTTTGAATTATTTCATTAATTTCTCTTCAAAGGTTTTTTTTTTTTTTGGTCAAATATTCTCCTTTTGAATGGAAGTCAAGAGTAACTGCAAGCACTTTACATTCTATTTTAGGAATGAGTTTTTCAGTGGTTTTTCAAAAAAAAAAAATCTCCTTTCTTGTTCAGGAAATCAAGTAGAGATACTGTGTGCGTGGTAGGTGGGTGGAGTGTAAAACTGGTTTTGTTTGACAGTAACCACATTTCTTGCAGCTGACTAAGGTTTCACATCGAGACGACCTGCTTGAACTTTGTGCTGCTGAATAATACTTTGCATTTTTAATACAATCACGTGTCTTTGTAGAGCTCCTGTACATTAGATGTAGATGAGCCATCACCTCTTCCACAGTCACAAATCACTGTGATAAACCAAACTCAGCCATTGTTCTGGAAAAAGTAAAATATAATGAGTGTCCTGTATATTGGGCTCGACACCCTCACTTTGTATTCACACTTCGCTCGTCTGACAATGTCTGAATCAACCTGTTTAATTAAAAGTGCCATTAATCTCATTCTTACAGCCCCACCGCCTCTAATTTGTCACAGTCAGATAACAGTGTTGCATTAACAGTGTCTCTGACAGGTTCACGGAGTTTTCAGGTGCCTCGATGGGTCTGTTCAAAACATTTCCTCTGTGGGGGTGTGTTTCATAATGATATAATTCCCCGATATGGACTGCATTCAAAAGCTCTGATATCACAATATGCACTTTGAAATGCTTTGAATAATATTACAGCGATGCACTGAATCACTGTCATTACCGTGGCTAACAAAAGCACACCTTTTCCACAATAAGCTTGTGAAAAACGGAGTGATCCTTTTACAAGATTTAAGCTAAGAATTTGTGTCTTTATCATCATAAATGTACATCAAAGCTGACCTTCCTAAAATTACACCTCCTTATTTGTCTCCATAATTGAAGACACGAGATGGATCTTTAATGGTAAAATAATTTTGCTGGTTGCAGAGATATGAAGTTTAAGTGTTCACTCTTGCAGCATCCTATGCTGAATTTCTCTTGAATGTGATTTCACATTGAAGTGGCTCCCTCTAGTGATTTTCTGTGTCATTTCTGTAACAGGGCACATGCTCCCGAATGTGCTATAACATCTTCATCGTGGAGACTGTGTGTGTCGCCTGGTTCTCCCTGGAGTTCACCCTGCGCTTCATTCAAGATCGCAGCAAGCTTACCTTCCTCAGACAGCCCCTGAACCTGATCGACGTGGTGGCCATCCTGCCGTACTACATCACACTATTAGTGGACAGCACCTCTAAAGGGGAGAAGCGGCTGGGCTCTGGCAGCAGCTACTTGGACAAAGTGGGCTTGGTGCTACGCGTCCTGAGAGCCCTACGCATCCTCTATGTGATGAGGTTGGCTCGCCATTCACTAGGCCTGCAGACTCTGGGCCTGACAGCACGCCGCTGCACTCGGGAGTTTGGACTGCTACTCCTGTTCCTCTGTGTGGCCATCGCACTGTATTCCCCCTTGTTGTACTTGATTGAGAATGAAATGGCCACCACACAGGAGTTCACTAGCATCCCTGCTACCTATTGGTGGGCTGTCATCACCATGACGACAGTGGGCTACGGGGACATGGTGCCGAGGAGCATCCCAGGTCAGGTGGTGGCTCTGAGCAGCATCCTCAGTGGTATCCTGCTGATGGCCTTCCCCGTGACCTCCATCTTCCACACCTTCTCGCGGTCCTACGTGGAGCTGAAGCAGGAGCAACAGAGGCTCCTGCAGAGGAGGACGCACTTCCTGCTGCGGAGCCGCATGGCCGGCCTTGGCAGCAACCTCTCCTTAGAGAGTGATATGCTCTTTCCCATAGGGTCATCTGACGCTAGAGACATGGACGACTGAGCGAGCTGAGAGCAGGACAGAAAGAAAAGATGGAGGAGGACACACTGAATGTGTAAGAAAGAGAGGGAGATAGTCTGACAAAGAAGGCATCAGAGAAAATAAGGGAGAAGAGAAGGAACTCTGGTTAGATGGGTTTAAAAAAAAAAAAAATGATAAGGAAATGACAGGGATATTTTTTTTTCTTCCCAGAAATGCAGCTCGCTGTGTAGCAGTGTTCAGTTAAACAAAATGGACACACAAGAAGGTGGAGGAAAGGATTAGATATAACAGTTTAAATTCAAAATAACCTCTGGAAGTTATACGTCCAGCTTACAAAAAAAAAATAAATAAAAAAATACACATAAACCTCAACAATGACATATAGCATTGCAACAGTCATATATTATAACATACGGTCATTTAGAGATGCTATTTGACAAAAGATGCAACTGAAGAGCACAAGCACAGCATTCTTATATTTCATCAACATTGTGATGTTTTCTATCTCTGATTTCTCCAGACAATTAAATGGATATGTTGATGTCATGTGCCCCTGGGAGTTAACCAGTGTCACTTAATGGAAGATGCTGTTTTAATAAGTCGCAAGTAAAATGGAATTTCTTTCTAAGCTAAAATGTGACCCTTGATTCAGTGATTGCTTTCTAAATGACTGTGAAAAGTCTTAGAATTATACTGGGTTTCCTAATAATCCCCCCTCTGGCACAGCCAGCATTAACATATTAATTATGATTTGTTAATTGTCCTTCTTCGACTTCTTGAGGCTCCATATGCAATTTTTAAATACCCACTGAAGATAGCATTATTGTGCTTGTAATTACTGCAGTTGCTGTGCATAGCTGTTTATAAATTATTTCTCTCTTTAAAGTGGATTTAAATGCAATTCTGTCTTTTGTGCACATTATTTCATTGTCGTTCCTCAATTTAAGTTTAACTTTTCACTTTATTATTGCTTCACTTGCAGTCAAAGACATGGACCACTCCAAAGATGAGCATCTTTTTCCTAGTCTAAACATAGATTGCCACAAATTACATGTTTGTCTCTGCACAATTTGTTCACCATAAGCCACTTTTAAAAAAGATAAAAAGAAGGACATCTGATTGGTATATGCTGATGTTTCTTTCTGTTAGCTATTATTTTAATACATTACAGAAAAGTCCTGATATGTCATCACCTGCGACAGTCACCTGCAAATCAGGAAATCTTTCATCAGTCACCACACAGATTAATTTGTCCTCCACATTCCTAGAAGAGTCTGCAAGGATTCTGTGTTGTGTTGTGTCTTGTAAATTATTGTTGGTCAACCTTTTGGGATTTTTGAAGAGCTTGAGATAATCGTTTTTTCTGAACAATCACGTTTCGCTCCATAAATAGAATGTAATGATAAAACACGAGAGACACAAGCAACGTTACTGCTCTTAGAATATAACTGAGGACACTTACTCAAGCTCTGAACTTAACAACAGTGTTTAAGGTCCTCTTACTTTATTTCCTTTTTCAGCTACTTTTTACTTCTACTCCATACATTTATCTGACAGCTACAGTTAGCAGTTTTAGTGCAGCTTCATATTTTACATATAAAACATACAGAGAGCAAACAAGAAGACACATCAGTACCTATACACTGACCAATATTAGCAATACATGTGTAATCTAATGCAATGCAAGCAGCTGTCATGCCATTTACTGTATTTTTGTGAAGCTTCCACATTTTCAGTTTTTTAGACATTGTCATAAAGGTAATAATTCTTCAGTGGCTGCTGCTGGTTTGCTTGACTACATTATATTGAAAGTTGTTCCTAATATTTCCTAACAACTGTGTTAATTTTGTATTTAAACAGTATTTTAGTTGAGATTAAAATCTCTTTTTCATTAAAGATCCAGCCAAAAAAACATGCCATTATGTAGTGACAAAAGAAATTTGAATTTTCTGTATGTAACAGAAGTGAGTATAACCCTGTGCAATACCACCTAAATGTCAAATGATTCAAAACTGTTTCACCCGACAGTCATTGCATTACCTCTAAGTTGAACTGTAAGGTGTTTGCTCTTGTGAAAAATTGAAAACTAACAGTTTAGATTTACAATAATAAAAAGTAAGGGTTCTACAATAGCACTCAACCTTTCTCTTTCAAATAACCCAAAGGTCTACTATTAAGTTCAATTCAGGTGACAAACGTCCAACTTCCACGTCATAATTTTCGCCGTTTTTCTTCTCAAGAAACTCTTTTTTTCAGGGTACTTCAGATGGTTATCATGCTGGAATATTCCTCTTCTGCCAAGCTTCTGCAAACTGAGAGTCCTCTTGTCAGCCAGTATTTTGGTTTATCTACAGGCATTCATCCATCACCAAGCAACCCCACATCAATCAACTTTCGTGCTTCACTGTCTGGACTATGCACTCACTGTAGCAGATTAGATGTGAACCAAACATGCAAGACCTGGTCTGAGCCAAACAAATACTTGGTTCCACCTGACCAAAGAGCGCTGCATTTTTGTTTTAATGATTAGTTTAATTTAATGACTGTGATGAAGTTTTCTAATTTGTGTCTAAGTGATTACAGGCATTTGCATTTTTGCTAGGATGAGTTTCTACTTTGGGGCCTGCACTTGCAATATTCAAAAGTTCTTTTGATTGCTCACAAAGAGAAATACTCTACTTGTAAACTCAGAAATAATGAATTTTTTGAGAGGTCGTGCAATTTTGAATCATTTGACAAATAATATTACACAGAGCACTGTTGCCTCGCAGCAAGAAGGTTGCCGGTTCACGTCCCGGTGGGGGCACCGGAATCTTTCTGCGTGGAGTTTGCATGTTCTCCCCGTGCAGCGTGGGTTCTCTCCGGGTTCTCCAGCTTCCTCCCACACAGTCCAAAAACATGTTGAGGTTAATTGGTGATTCTAAATTGTCCGTAGGTGCGAATGTGAGTGTGCTTGGATGTCTGTCTCTAAGTGTAACCCTGCGATAGACTGGCGACCTGTCCAGGGTGTCCCCTGCCTTCACCCTAAGTCGGCTGGGATAGGCTCCAGCCCCCCCGCGACCCTAATGAGGATTAAGCGCCGTATAGATAATGGATGGATGGATATTACACAGGGGTGAAGTAATTGCTCTGATATTCTGTAATATTGAGCTTGACCACTGCAGACTTTGGACACGAACATTAAAACACATTAAATAATAGGTTGGAAAATGCACAAGGTTTTTAAAAGTAAAATTCATGGTGGATCTGTTAATGTTTTGCAGATGTTTCCAATATGGTGCTTGGTGAGTCTGTTAGATGTGTAAAGTTACCTTCATCTCAGTCAAGCTACAACATTTATGTGCTTACTAGTTAGAATTTATTTTATTTTTTAAAATCCAGAAATATCATGCATAAAATGAAACATTTATGAAACATAATTGGGATATATAGTCAGTACTTTTACTTCTGATGCATACATACTTGCATGTTGCGAAAAAATACTTTTACTTCAATAACATTCTAAATACAAACATTTTGCTTGGAACACACTGTGGAATTGCTACTTGCATTCAAGTAAAGTCCAATTGTAGGTTTATTTTACATTATGCAGAGAAGACAAACAAACTGAGCGGGTCTCATGACCAACTCTTGCAGAATGCATTAACTTAAACACAATTCTTCATCCTGCTCAGTGTGTGTCAAAAGTCTACCAGTAAAACATAATTGCCTTTGAGGAGCTACCTGTGATGTTTACATCATACAGTCTCCGTTCAGTCTGTCTTGTGTCCTGAACATTGTGTGTCTCCTGAGCAGGTGAAATGATGCAGTGGTTCTTCCAGACAATCTTATCAAAGCTTTATTGAACTGTTCACTTTCCTCATATGTTATTATTTTCAGGCTGCTAATTATTTAACATCATTAAATTTATATTCCCACATGCATCTTAAAACACACACACACGTACACACATGGTTTAAAAGGCCTAAATGCTTACACAATTAAGTTTAAATGACAATTTTATTGTGCAAAACTCATGTTGGCAGCAGCTCCACTGCAGTTCTGCAGCTCATTTCTGTCTTCGATGCTACTTCTTCTGAACAGTAGGTGGCAGCATTGTGTCATCTAAAGAGAATAGGAATCATGTTTTGTTTTGTTTTTTTTCTTATTAAAATTAATTTAGGTAATCAGCAGATAAGATAGAAACTATATTTATTTTGCATTTATTTCATTCTCTAGTTCGGTTTACAGTAGTACAATTTAATTTAATATTTTTAAAAATGTGACTCATTATGGCTGCAGCAGATCACTGAGGTTTGGAAGTCAGCACCTCAATTTAAATTTCAAACCGAGAATTGAGAACTACTTGCAGAAGAGTTTGGGTGCTACAACACAATCACGACCTACAATGTGAAAAACGCTGTTGAACCTGCAGCCCCAGGTGAGGAGCGGCCCCTCCGACGCCATTCAGACAAATCAGAGCGCAATTGTGCGTAAAACAATCCGACCAATGAACGGCGGGCAGTTGCGGAGGCCCCGCCCCTCCCCGCCTCCAACATCACATCTCAGTGTTTTGGTCTTGATTTGGCGTCGCTGCCTTGAAGCAGACCGTCTGCCGCTGCTGCTGCACGAAAAGCTCCGGCTTCGTACCAGCATCCGAGTCTCTCTGCTGTCTCCATTTATTCTGCGTGAATGGAAGATCCGTCCGTAGCTCCGGAGGCTTCCTCACCGGGCCGCCCCTCCACTTGAATGGGATCCCTCATCGCCTCTCTCTGTCGCTGGCTTCTGGCACCGAGTGTCTCCGCTGCTCCGAGTCCCAATTTTAGGATCTGTGTGCTTTTTAGTCTCCCTAATCAGTTTATGAATGGTTTGATGCGACAGCCGCCTGTCTGATCGGCTCAAGAGCGACGACGCCAAATCTCCGGCTGCCTGCGCTTCAGGGTGAGTAAAACTTGGTCCTTCACTGCGAAGGACGTGAGTAATGACAGACTCACAGACGGGGGTCGATAAAAAATGAATGAGGGGTTGGATCTCCACAATGCATCAAAGTGTTCAGGACAAAAACCTCACTTTGCCCGACCTGAATCCATCTTACACTGTAGTTTCCTTGTAATTCACTAGAAATCACTGCTTGCAGCTCTTCTCTAAAAATACTGTATAAACTGGGGCTCCACACTGTACAGCCAGTGCCTCCTCTGCACTGCTCTGGGAAACCATCACCACACCTTCATGCCTGGTTTTAGGGGAAGTGGCTCCCTGGGTGGAAGCCTTCACAGCTGAAACTTGGCAGCTCTCTGCACTCAGACTTTTATGGGCTACCTGCTGTACTTGTTCTGTTTTATGTGCAAGTGAGAACATCAGAGGACACAAATAGGTTCTACGTGAATAATTTGCTGTTGTTCAACCCTGAATGCCACAGATGTTTCCTCCTTAAGATCCCACTCACTTTAAAGACATGGCTGTCATATGCTTAGGATTAGTGTCTCCCACTCAACATGACTCAAAGGTCCAGATATTGACTTTCATGTGGCGGTAACTAATAATAGAAAAGCTGATTCTTACTAATTGTACAGCGCGTATTATATGGATCAAAGTCGTGCCTTTAAGCGTATAGATTCTGCCTGTATTGTTTGTGTCTTAACACTGACTACACATAGGCCTGTATGTTTTACACATCAGTCCTGACTCCTCCAGTCCCACAGCTGATCCAGGATCACCACACAGATCTGCTAACCAAGCCTGTTGTCATTCACACAGAAAATTAAACCAGGTTTCAGCGTCTAGACGAGATTTTCCTCTCAGACACTTAACTATCGGTTTGTGAAAGACGTCACTCACTGACATATTTGCCATCATGGCAGTTAGATATGTCAGTTGGCGCTCATGACACACTGCTGTACTGCTGTGGCTTATAACCTAAATATTGTGTATAAACCCTCAGCTTGTTTTTTTTTTTTTCTATTACAGTAATCCTTTCTGAAGCTGAACCTTTATTTTTATAGTGCCATCAATAGTGTTTTAATGAAATAAAGTTGCTATTAGATTTGATTATCAGTAGTGCATTAGGCTAATCCTCCATAGATTTTGTATTTTTTGATGTGTGTTTTCGTATTTTCCTGAAGGAATTAGGATGTTTGGCAGCCGGCATGAAAAACATATTATGTCCCCTGGATGGATTCAGTGTCCTTATATCTGATGTTGGACTGCTGACATGTGAGCTGATGCTGTGCGTGAAGCCCCTGCAGGCAATGTTTGACGATTGCTGTGGTGCGTTTTGCTCAATTCACACTTCTGACGTGGTTTCAAGGGGATACACGGTTCACGGTAAATGTTTCCACCTACTGCAAAGCCAAGACAAATGATGCCAGATTCACAAGGCTATTAGCATGCCTCCTGCGAGCTGGCGATGACGCCAACCAGTGAGTGAGAAGTGTTTCTCAAAGTGGTACGAGATGGCCCATTGTACTTTCTAACTGCCAGATTTCAGGCTCCACAGAGGGGACCTAATGCTCCTTGGAATCCCATGAATGCCTTCCAGTGAAAGCCATAGATATTTCTGTCAGCTCCAATGAGAGTGGGGGGGGTGGGAGAAATGGCTCTTGAGGCCGAAATTCCTGCTAATTGGCAACGTGGCTGTGGACTGGCCTCTTTGTTGCTGTGTACTGAAGTGGTCTGTCTGTCTGTCTGTCTGTCTGTCTGTCTGTCTGTCAGTCAGTCAGGGTGACACACTGGCATCAATGAACTGCTTGTTTCCGCTGCTATCCGGCCCAGGAGGATCAGCGGCTTTAAGACAAGTCGCTTCCACTTTCAGAAATTGCTTTTGTGCACCTAGACACTGAAGGAGAAGCATTTAGGGTGGTCTGCGGAGGGAGACTGTTTCTCAGCAGTCCCAGCCAACCATTTTCACTGTGATGAGTATATCTGCCTCTGCTTTAAGCTGCACTGACGCGAACTGAGCATTAAACAGACTCCACTCTAGCTGGCGGTTTACTGAATTTATCATTTGATCTAGCGAGTGTCCTACTTTCCTTTAGGTCAGATGAGGATTAATTGGCATTGAGCTCCGAGGGCATATTGTAATTGTTTATGATATTATAAAGAATTAGCTTATTGGCCAGAGGAACACGAATTTAAAAAAAAAAAAAAAAAAGGAGGGGGATCACAAATTACAGGGCAGATCGTGAATGTAAATGAGCTCTAGTAGGAGTTGTAGAAGTAGTAGTGCGCTGCTGCTTTGTTGAAACAACACACTATTCCCCTTTGGCTTTGGAGTACTTAACAAACAAAACAGTTGTCTGATGCCAGCGTCAGCCCCTCTTCACTTTGCCAATGAAATGTGCGATCCACTCCAAAGGGAGAGAAAGAGAGACGGATTGTGTACAGAAAGGGGGGCATGAGATTTGTGACGGCGTCCCGCTGACAAAGGCCTTTGAATTTTTCATGTTGCAGATACTAAACTTCTGTTGGTCTGGCCCAGATTTGGTGCTAATTAGTGCCCGGCTACATTCAAGGGCATACGGTTGAGCATGGGAATGCCAGTGCCACCTGTTCTCTCACCATCACCCCCATCCTGTCACACTGTATCTGTCTGTTTAGGCTTTATGCATCAGTGGCCTGGTTTTGTGTTTTCTTCTTAAACCCAAAGGCTGCGTATTTCCATTCTGCTAAGTTCTACTTTTTAGCCCACACTGGTATCACTTCTTGAATTTGTGACCGCCAGAGAGAAGTGGATGTACACATTGCTCAAACATGAAGCCACAAAGCTGGCCTTTGCACCCAGTACATGGAGTTGAATTAAGGCTGCAGAACTGAAGCGCTCTGACATATCCCTCCAAGCTCTCCGTCAGAGGGGCCTGTGCTTGCTGGCTATTTGAATGAAGTATCTGATAGAGGTTTGATGCAGACAAACAGAGGAGGGCTTGTGTCCTCCCAGGATCCCTGGCTGCTTCCTGTCCCTCTGCTCTGGGAACGAGCCAGGGTGACACAGGCCACGCATCTCTGCTCAATCCACCCACTGTTGCCTCTGTGGAAAAGCGATCGCTCTCACACCCTCATTCCCATCGCTCCGTGCACGTTTCTTGTGACAGGAAAAGCGTCTTTGGCATTTAGAGAGATGCCTCTCTGTGTGGCTTTGTGTAGGCGCAGCTGTGCGAGCCTGGTCAGGACGGATGATGAGATGCTGGGAAGAGCACATGCTGCTTTCTCCCCCTCTTAAAACGTGAGGCGCTCCATCCTCTGAGAATCGCTGCAGTGTATGTTGACATGGGAGTTTTTATGCAGATCATGTACTCGCAGAGATCACGGACTCTGTCAGATTCAACCTCTGGCCCAGGCAAAGCTTATCATCTCACCAAAACCAGATTTGTGAGCAATTTCCTACACGAAGCTACGCTAAGTGTCTTCTGATCCTTTCAGTGCATCACATGATAAATTTAAAAGCAGCATCTAAGTGAATAGAAAATTGCTTGATGCTGTGTTTATGAAACCTGTCACTACACAAATGACTCTAAAGTAGTTGGGATAATATTCCTGAAGCAGTGATGCCAAACAGTAGCTGGTTTCACTTTGTCATTTGTGAGACTGCTCTTTTTTTTCTGTTATGTGGTAGTGCACTAAAGGTCTACTAAAGGTCTTTGGGTTTTGAACTGTTGATTTGACAAAGCAAGTATAGATTTTAATACATTTTGGTGGGAATTTTGGATGAGTCCATTATGAATATAAGCCTTAGTTGCAGGCCTACACTAGATGTAAGTGTAGATGAATAATCTTGCATCTTTTGTTGAAAGGCCAATAAGTAATATGACCAAGTTATATCTGTGGGAGGTTGCTAAACAATACCAGTGACTCAGTGATCACTTTGCCAAGTGATGTGATTCCTCGCTTTCAAATCTGGCTTTTCAGCTTTTTGCTTGTTTTGGAGCAAAATATCTGCTTTCATTTAGGGTTCAAGTTATGTCCACGTTTGTCAGCTTTAAAGTTCCTCTCGGGTTGTTGATTAAACCCCTAAAACTCATCCTTGTGTATCAAAACTACTTACTTAGATTATTTTTCCATGAAAATAATCCCCTCAGGCACTGGAATGGTTTAGATGCAACCCAGCAGTATTGCCTCCTTTTAGAATGATCTGCTTAAACACTGCTATAAAACTGCTATAACATTTGAGTAATTCAGTCAGACATGTTTGAATTGGAAACTGATTCTGGAGTAGATCAATGACGCAGAGAGCCCCTCCTGCAAACTGACAGGATTGGTTCCTTATGTTTGTTTCATATGCAACCATGGAAGTCAGAATGTGTGTTTCTGACGTCAACACGTTTTCAGGGTGGAAATGCTCAGCCATGGTGTTCACTGCTTATTTTGCCCATGATATGTCTTCCAGCATCTAAAAACATCATGGACATGTTAACAATGTCAAAAAAAAAAAAAAGAAAACTTGATTCTCACCAGAGGGGGTCTTTAATTATTAAAGGCTGGCGTCGGGTGGACGTTTTACTGCAGTGTTTTTCATCATCATGTGTCGTATTTTAGCTGTACCCTTTTGTATCGGCGTTACTGAACTCGTCTCTCTAATGTAAAATGTGCCAAACTTGTGCAGGTAATCTGCAGGATCTGTTTTCCCCAGGCTCTGACCTCTGGTATCGCCCCTGTTTGTCCTGATGTGAGTCTGGATGAGATACAGAGCAGGGGCAGCTTAGTGAACCAACCCCTCTGTATCTTATGAAAGCTCCAACCGCACCACCAACTCGCTGCCATCCTCTGATTGCCTTGCAGGCAGTGTCTCATTCACTGCTTCACCGCCCCACTGAGTTACATTTGAATATTGAAATCAGGGCCTTGTGAACAAAGGGGTGGTTTAAAAGAGATGGAGGAAATCACTTCGGTGTTGGGGTCCTCGCCCTCCAATCTGTTATGGAAATGTCATGGCAGGGAGCAGTTATGTT